GACACCCAGGCCTCCAGTAGTTCTCGCCCCGTCTTATTAGCGGCGCGTGCCACTATCCGCGTGCCCGTGAAGTCGAAATCGTGGCCTTCTTCCAGACTGCGGGTAGCGATCTCAGACAGTGGATCGCCTTTCCGCACTGTCCATTTGTGTTCCGTTATTTGCGAGCGAAGTCATCGCCCGGTTTGCTCGGTGTAATGGCAAGAACAGTCGTGACATGGCACTTGATAGACGATGCCAGCCTGCTCACCTACCTCCAGCGTGTCTTTTATTTGCATGACCCGTGAACGCATGGTAGCTCCGCTTTTAAATGATTTCACGAGACCTCAGGGTTGGTCTGAAACACCAACACAAAAGGGGGTAGAGTACGTGAACAGGGACAACATGAAAGTGTCAACGGCCCGCAGGGATGGTGGACAAATGGTTCTCGGATTAACCGAGTCAAAAAAGGGGGACGGACAGGCGGGATTTTATCTCCACGTAAGGTGGGTGGCCAGCGTTCCAGGGGGGAAGGGGCCAACCTTCGTAAGAGGTAACCAACTCAGTTGTAGGTCGGACAGGAGTTTCGCTGGAGAAGGGAAGTGGATCATATCAAATTTGTTCAGCCGGAAATAACATTTTGCTTTACTGAAGTCTCCGTATGTCGTAATTGATGACTTCAAAACTACTGCTATGCATTTTTTCCAGCTTAGATCGTAGTAACTTTCAATTTATTGGCTAGTTTCATAATTTAAAATTTTTAGTTCTTGACAAAAGTGGACTCGACGAGACCAGGGGCGACCAGAATGGCCATTTCCGGCATATTAGCCCGGACAAGCACGTTTCGTAACCTATTCGGCCCTACTATTCATCATAGTCCCGATCGCAACCGACAAAAACGACGAGCCAGTGGTGCAATGGCCAAGAGATGCACTTAATGGCCAACGGTCCCGGGTTTCAATATAGGGGTCGCCACCCTTGCAGTTGGGTATGGCTGGCTGATGATGGCTAGTAGGCCAGAAATGGCCTTTCCGGTGTCCCTTGTCTTTGTCGGTTCCACTTCATCCTATCCCACTAGTCGCTATGCGGCTGCCTGCGCTGGCTCCAAGGAATACGGGGACGAGCATGTTCCGTAAACAGATCTATGAGCGCCCCGCCATTTATTGTATTTCTTATTTATAAATATGAACTTCCCAGGTATCTTTTCTGAACCCCGAACCTTAGCGGAGGCACTAGATGGTGCTTTCTTTCTATCCATTCTATTTGAAGTGTTCTCTCGCACCTTTCTAGGGACCGGTATTTGAAGTGCACACACCGTTATCTGAACCTGTCCCTACACTCCACGCCCTATTAACGGTCAATTTCAGTTGATTCACTTCTAAAAAATTCGCAGTCTCAGTGGGAGTCAAACCCCTACAGCAGGGGAGGCTTTTGCATAGCCAACGCTCCACCATTGAGCTACGAGGCTCACCATGAGCCGTTAATTTAATCACATTTGGATCGATTTTACCCGCTCAACTTACTGCTCATATGGAATCGACCATTTTGGAACAGCAAGCTGACTGCCTAGGCAGGATTTCCTAAGCAATCATCTAGAACCCCACCCGAATGACAACTAGGCTCACTTAATTGTTAGGAGGGGGGGTTGGCAGATTTGCTTAATTCAGTTGATCCAATTGTCCTTTTATCCCTTTTGCGTTGGCACAGCGCAAACAGACCACACAATCGCCACACCTGGGCGTGCCAAAGAGAACGACACCATGCTGCTGGCTAACAAGCTACGACTGTCAATGAGGAAACTACAGAAGTCAGCAGAGAACCTGCTGGAGCGAGTCCGCTCCTCGAGTCGTGACCCACCGCTACCGCCAGCGCTGCCTTCACAAAAGGGTGTCCGCGATGTGGCAAAGTCGCACCACCACCACCACCACCACCACCACCACCGTGAACATCGTCATCATCATCGCGCGGCAATGGGTGACCCGCCAAGAGATCCGACAGCTACGAGGCGCCACCACAGTCTCCCGGTGCACTCACCTCGAGAGGACTTAGACGTGCCTGCCGTCCCAACTACCGAGCAGGAGGGTCACTATGACTCAAAGTCCCGACAGCGTTCCGAGGAACCAATAGAAAATCAAAATAACCTGCTCATGGGAGGCTCTTATGGACATTTGTGAGCTTTTTGTCGCGTACTGTATCTGCATGTATAAATCTGGCATTCGATTTCTGTCAGGTTTTTTAATTATTATTATTTTTGGGCAACGTTCCCTACTCATGCAGTAATACTGGACTTTGGATGAGGATGCCTACGGGTTGTGAGTCCACGCTATTGAAATGAAAAGCGTACAAAAGCTTGCCGTTGTAGACTGGTGATTGTATCGCAGGGGGGTTAAGTAAGTTAAACCCTAGCAACTGCGATCTTCAGACCATGGTTCCTTAGTAGAGAAGAAGTCGATCAAGGCCAGAGTAGTAGAAACAGTATATTTTGTGCACAGAGAAACGAAGAATAGATGAAAAGAGATTTCACTTGGAGAGCATACGACTGGCCAGGAAATCCAGTCGAGTCCAAAGTGCTGGTGTGACAGCATTGAGGCCAGAAGACATATAGAGAGCGTTCATTAGCTGGGTCGGTCTGTGATTGGATGGACAGCGTGTGAGTAGACATCGGCGTGGGCGTCCATGTCTCGCGCGCCAGTAAGTCTGGCGTCCGCCATGACCTTGAGGCCTAGACGGATTGAGGTTACGACTGGAAGGCCAGGCGACGGGCGGGCAGCGACCACTACAATTGTATGAATTTTAATTGCGGCTGAGATAAAACTTTCACTTTCGGAGTCTCTGAACCTGAGAAGCCCTTTCTACGGTGCATGCAGACGTTCACCCTGTGCGAACTTCTGTTGAACGGCCGTATTTGGTATGAGCTATCCTTTGTACACTTCCCTGGACTTCACCTTTTTGATTTCCTGAGAACTGTATTTCTGTTCGCGTTATAAATCAATATATTTAAAGTCTATGGGCATAAACCGAAATTGTTAGTGTATATTTGGGCTGAAACCCGTCAACCACTGCGAAATATGCGCTCGTTGCTAATATACACCTGCTGCCATCAGATAGGGAAAGCTAGGGGACCCACTGATGAGTCGGACCCCTCGCAGCTGTGTCAAGCAGCGGCAGAACACCGGTGACACACGTGTCTGGGCCTTTTAGCAAGTACCTAGGCTGTTAGTACGGTAAGTTTCAACGTCAGTTTATACTACTAAAGACTGGATGATGGCAGAAG